CCTGCTGAACAACCCCCCAAAGACACTTTCTCATGGCCATGGAGGGACCAATCCTGCTGAACAACCCCCCAAAGACACTTTCTCATGGCCATGGAGGGACCAATCCTGCTGAACAAACCCCCAAAGACACTTCCTCGTGTCCATGGAGGGACCAATCCTGCTGAACAAACCCCCTCAGATCTGGTCAGTCAGTCCCAGCAGCTCTAAGGACTGAACCAGTTGAATTCCCTGACCTGGCCAACAGTGGCCACAAGGATCCAAAGGCACCTGGGGGGACAAGTCCAGAGCTGAGTGTTGGTGCTGAGCAGCACCTGCAGCACATCCAGAGCCTTTTCTCCACCTCTCTGGCACCACAACTGAGCAATTCCCCTGCCCACCCCTCGTTTTCCAGCAATGGAAAATGCCTCAGGCACCTCCCTGAGGACTCAGTCACAGCCTCTGCCAGCAGAAGGAATTCCCCAGGAATTCAGGTTGTGCTTTGCCCTCAGTGCCACAGGAGCAGGGAGGTTTTCCTTTCCAGGTGACTCTGCAAGGAAGGTGGGTCTGGGAATGCTCCCAGAGGGGCTGGAAGGAGCTCAGAGGGTGTCCCAGCGAGGCAGATGTCACACATTCTGTGTGTCACATCACTCAGGAAACGTGCTCCTCACACCAGAGCCAGGAAAACGTTGGGATAAAGCACCTGGACATTATTTAATGCTAAAAACACCTGGAGAAGGTTGGAATAAAATGAGCAGGCTGAGAAAACAGGACCCTGCAAATTGCTGCTTTTAAGTCTCGTCCAAGTTCCCAGCAGAGTCCTGGCACAAGGAGAGATCACAGGGAAACAGGACATGGGGAAGGTACAAATCCAGGGAGTTCAAGTTCTCCCCCAAACTGGAGGCACAAGGTGATGTGTTGGTGTAATTTCTGGATTTTGTGCAGAACCACATCCTCATTTCGTGGAGGTTTTCCAGAATTCCTATCAGCCAACAGCAATTATATCTCCAGTACTGAATTAAAAACCTTAAAACATGAATATAGAAGGTCACTGGACGTGGGGTAAGGCTGAAAACACCAGGAAAAATCCAGGGAACACCAGGGAACTCCCAGGAAAATCCTAAGGAGTAATTCTTGGAGCAAACCATGCTCCTCCTCCTCCCCACAAACACTAACTCAAGGGCACCCCACCTGAACATGGATTCAAGCAGGAGACAACAAAACACTGAGCTAAAGGCAGCACAGCTTGTCAGTGAGAGGTTTTTGGGAATGCAAACTGTGCAAGGCATGGCTGTAGCAGCAACCCAGGGGTTCAGAGGGACAGAGGATCCTTCTCCTCCTCACCCCACAAAAAACAGGCTCCACACTGGGCTGAGCAGACCTGTGCATTCACATCCCCACCCCGAAGATTTCCACACATCCCTCTAAAAGGAGCTCTGGAATTTAAAGGAAATGGGAAGGGGTTCTGTGAGATGGGTCTGTGTGACTGTTGGGCTGTGTTTGGTGGTGGTTTTTTTGAAGAAGCAGGACATAGATAAACCACAGGCAGCTTCACCACTGGGATCAAGTTGTTGAGCAACAAAGGGCAGACACAAACACAGGCCTGGTTCCTTCCAGCAAGGAGAAAACCTGGAGTTGTTCAAGGTGAGGCACGGACAGAGTCTGGTTCTCATCCCATCAGAGGGGATGGAGGCAAAAATCCGGTAAAAAAGGGGAAGAGTATTGAAAAAATTTAAGGTTTTCACTTTTGCTATTTCTTGATCTCTCTCTCATCTCTTAACACGTTAATAAGCACATTTTATAGTCCAGAGGGGGGTGGAATTGGAATCATTTCATCTTAACTCCCAGTCAAAATTCTCTCTCCCAAGTCTCACCAGGGAAAGGAACATCCCTTGGTCTGTTCAGCTGGAGCAGAGACTGAGGGCAGAACTCTTGGGGGGCTGCAGCTTCCTCAGGAGGGGCAGCAAAGGGGCAGCTCCAACCTCTGCTCTGGGACCAGGGACAGCACCCAGGAATGGCTGGAGCTGTGCCAGGGCAGGCTCAGGTTGGATCTCAGGCAAAGGTTCTTCCCCCAGAGGGTGGTTGGCACTGCCCAGGCTCCCCAG